AATTTTGAATCAGCCCAACTGGATAAGTGTAAAACTAATGAGATTCAGGCCAAACAAATGTCCACCAGACCCTGATCCTTGTACAGCCTGAGCACCAGATCCTAACTAGTTGACCTGAGAACATGTGTTTATTCTCTCCATGTGTGTCAGCCCTGCAGTTTGCACTTGTGCACAAATAATCCAAGGCAGATTCCCAACCGCTCGTGGTTCAGTACTGCCAGGGTTGTATCAGAGGGTCAGTGCATTGAGTTTTGAGACTGAGATTCTCAAATGTGTTTGAGGCTTCTTTAAGAGACTGAAGCTAAAGGTAACAATCTCAGAAAAGTTCTTCTCTTTCCTGTAAAATAATATTTTCTTTCTCTGTAAAGTATAGCAGTCAACTGGTGGTTCATTCTCAAATCATTTTTTTAATCTAGCCTAGCCACAATATCAGGTACAGCTGAGTAAGTGTTTGAAATAGAATATATACATATTTTTTCCATTGTGTATTGAGGTAATACTGATCAAATTTTTAACTTAAACAGAATAGAAAACACTTTTAAGAAAATGTATTTAGTACAGGGTCTACAGGGTGTCACTACACAGATTGGACTTGTAGTGATCCTCCTGTTTTCAGCCTCCCTAGCTCTGGGATCACATGTGCGCGCCACCATGCCCAGTCTCAATCCCCAGCTCAGTGGTCCCTGGGGGTGGGGTCAACCTGGCACTCTGGGGATCAAAGCCCAAACTTTTTTTTTAATATGTTACTTTCCATACGTCTAGGACAATTATTTGTATGCATCAATAATTTCACAAACACTTATCTACTAAATTGCAAATACTAAAAAGATGTTTTCAGGATAAGTGAATTTTCTATACAGTTACAAAAGAAATACCACATAACTCAGACACCACATAGTTTAACTTATTTAAAAAACTACTTTGTTTTAACTTTCAAACAATCAGCAGATTTTTTTTTTTATTTAACCTCTAGGTAGCAGTAAACCTAATTAGCCACAAAGTAACCCTTATACTATTTTTATTTTCACTTATTTCACTTTAAAATTTGGTCTGTGTGTGGCCAGAGGCACTCCTCTTCTAGATTACTTAGTAATCCAGTATTTTCTTGAAGAACGCTGTCCTCTGGCTATTCTGTTGCTGGGGCTATTCCAAAAATAAACTGGTGAGGTTTAAATTACCACAAACTTACAATACCATCTATGATGATGCATTAAGAATTTTCCAGTGAATGAAAAGTATATTTTTATAGTTCACTTCCCCTTCTCCTGACAGAAATAAAAGCCTCTGAGCAAGCTGCAGGGAGTGACCAATTGCCGGAGTGACTCCAGCCCTGTGGAAGAATGCCCTTATTCTTCTCAAAAAGTGTCAGCTCTCTGCAGTCATTTTCTTCTCTGGTTTCGTTCTTTACAAGATCAAGGAATACATGAAACTAATAATGAATGTGAGGTTCTTATTTGGCAGTCTAGACTATATACTTCAATTGCAAATGTACGAATTCTGTACTGTTTAAGTCTACTGCCATGACGTCATTTCAAGGGCTATAAAACTGTGAACATTAAATTTGCGTCCAGCAGTGGCAACTGATGATGCGATTCAAATGTACATTCACGTGCGTGCCGCTGCGACAGCAGCTCCTCGGAGCTACCTGCGTACGCTCGTACTCACCAGCACACAGATTCCCATGGTGATAGGGACAAGAAAAATCATCTTTTTCACAGTATTTTCCATAAACTTTTCCGAGCTTAGTTTTGTGACATAGGCACTCTCCACAAATGCAAACTCCTCGGCCACTGCACACAGGTTGGTCCTTCTGCAACTTGCAGCTTTCCGACAGAAATCCATCTTCTTCCAAGTGACAGCGACTCTCGTCACACTGCCAGCACTTGGAGTCGAGGGAGGTGTCGTCTACACAGCGCTCCTGCGGCCTTCTGCGGTCCTCACACTGACAGCTGCAGCTTCTGTGTATGTGAATTTTAGTGGTTTCATTGAAACCAATCGGCTTGATTATTGCATAATTTTTTCCTCTTGTGACATCACAGTTTTTCATTGTAACTGTTACATTGAAAAGAACCTAAATTTCAGAAGAAAAAGGAAATCTATTGGCGTCTTTTTTTATTGACTATTTTATACCTGTCAATAACATTTGAATCCATATGATATGCATCTTAGAGAAATTAACAGTATTTGTAAATAGATATTTAGTCTTTTTCATATGTAGATAAATATTTCTCTTTATCATTTATTTATTTTGGAAAATTAAAAAAAATCTTTTTTATTTGGTACAAGGTCTTGCTGTGTAGCTCAGACTCCCCAGTGCTGGGATTATAGGTATGTGCCACCATACTCAGTTTTTGGTGGCTGTCTTGGAGCAGGGCCAGCAAGGCATGTGGTGCCAGGGATTGCATTTGAGTCCTTGCACTTACCAGGCTGCCAAGCCATCTCCCTAGCCTCAGAATTTTTTATTTAGATAATTTAAAAAGGAATAATTGCTTAAAATATATTATTTAACAGAACTGAATGTACCTATAGAAGTGTCTACTCCACTTTTTATGATTAATTTCTTAGAAAACTTGACAAAGGACATATCACTTTCTAGATCGAGCTCTGAAAATTCAATGTTCCTGGATATTTGGTACTAGGGATGGATAAACCAAAGCAAAGGCCTTCTGCTCTACAAGTTTTAAACCCTGAGATATTCAAATGCAATTTTTCTTTTTCCCGCTAGAGCTCCAAGTAAAGTCTCAGAGTTAAACTTTATATATGTTGTCAGTGGAAGAACAACACAAGGTTTTCTCTTGTGTTATTGCTCAAGGAAACAGGCTGGGGACTCCTTTTCAAGTCTTGAGACTTCTCCCAGAGTTACACCTTTACCTCAGCTGGAGATATTTGTCCGGAACTGTAGAACCAGGCTGGCAGAAATTGGTTTTATTCTTCTGTCATTTTTTAATTGTTTTTCTCTATTTCTCTTTTTTCCAAAATAAGATTGATTTAATATGTCTATTTTAGTTTTTGGTCTACCTTAACATCTTCAGGTCCTCTAGGAAATGTGTGTGTGTGTGTGTGTGTGTGTGTGTGTGTGCGCGCGTGTGTGTGTATCTTCATGTTGGACTGAAATTTGTCACAATTAGTGCTGAGTTTTTTGGTTGAGAATTATATGTAGCATGATACAAAATATCTAAATTTAAGTTTTTCTATACATTAGAATTTTTAAAAATGTATATGGTTGTTACAGGGTCTCACTACACAGCTCTAACTCGTAATGATCCTCCTACTTTCAGCCTCCCCAGTGCTGGGATTATAGGCATGCGCTACTACGCTCAGACTCTGGCCAGCACAACCCACCTTGGGGGTGGGGCTGGTGTGGCATGTGGTTCCAGGGATTGAACCGTGGTCCCTGTGCTTGCCTAAGAAGGCGCTTTAGTCTGCTGAGCTATCTAGCCAGCCCCTAAGCATTAGAAATCTGAATCATTACTATAATAATAGAATACATTTGGAGTTGGTGCTTTATTTTAAATGCTTTCATTTTTAAGAATAGTAGAGCTGGGCATGGCGATGCATGCCTGTAATCCCAGCACTTGGGAGGCTGAGGTAGGAGGATCATGTGAATTTGAGGCCCGCCTGGACTGTGTAGTGAATTCAGGGCCAACCTGGACGATATGCGGAGGCCCTGTCTCAAAACAACCACAACAATAACAACAAATTAGCAGATGTGCAGCATAACGCTGTCAGTGCCCTTACTGAGAGTTCAGCAGCACTTGGGCTTGGTATAATTAAGAGGTCGGGTGACTATTCTGAAAACCAAATCATTTATAATATTTGCTGGGATCTAAAGAGGGAAAAGGAAGCAGGCAAAGAAAACAAACAAAAAGCCTGTAAGAAGCAAGGAAAACTTCTAATTTTGAGATTTTGTGAGTTATTTAATTTTCCAGAAAATAAGTTACTTTTCACCAGAAAAAAATTTTTCTCTCAAGTTAATGAGAATTAAATGTTTTGTAAACTGGCATATGTCTTTTCAATAAAATACAAGGGATTATTATAAATGAAATTAGAGAATTAGAAACTTGTGATAATTAATTTAAATTACAAATTTGTAGGCTCAATCACACCACCCACAGGTTCCAAAATTCAAGAGGAGAAAAATACACTCTAAAGAGAAAGAAAAGTCTATTTTTATTAATTTTGGCATCTCAGAATATTCTATCTCTTTGACTAAAGTTTTCTCTTTACTATGACACTGAAGTAATTAATAGAACAGTAAATTAGAACAGATAGTAGAAACCATCTAGTCCAAGCTATTCATTTAATAATGAGACAACTGATATCTCAGAGGCTGAATAGCTAAGTAAAAACCGCTTCACTCTGTGAGGATTTCCTCCGAACGTATTTTCTGTTCTCTCTTGTGCCAGTGCTTAGACGATCCCTCTCCTCGTCCTGTTTCCTGATGCTTCTATCGTCCGGATTTCACATTCTATCTCATCCATCTTTAGGTTAAATGCTGCTCTTTATTGTTCCCTCTCTCACATTGAATATATTGAGACAATCTCAAAGTGGAAGGATTTAGCCTTCTTAGCCTTTCTAACCATCCGGTGTATTGCTTTCAACCTCACCTTTACTGGGAGACTGTGCGGTTCGCAACTAACAAGGTGTAAACCTCGCTACAACTATAGCCATCACTTGATTGTACAGACGAGCTTTCCTTGTCTGTACCCGTTGTGACACCAACGTATGAGGCTACTGCTAAGTGTTTAATGTAGCGCATGCTTCTTTAATGTGAAAGTTTGAGAGTAGTTGTTTGAATGAGAACAAGGAGAGACAATAATTTTCAGTTTGAAGTGTGTTCTTGGGAGGAGCCTGTAGTTTTTCAGAATGGTTTGGTGCTCTGTGAGAAAGCATGCCCCAGGACGAGTGCATCTTCCGTGAGGAGGCTGCGAGGCTACGTACCTCGTCGTTGCTTGTCACGCTTCCACAGCCATCCATGCCTGGCTTCCGGGCCCCATCTGGACAGATGGCAGTTATGTTAAAATAGACGCCTTGTACCTGGTTTTCCACTTGAATTTTCACTTCTGAAATAAGCTTCTGTAAAGACATCAGTTTTGACTTACTTAGTGCAGTTGTGTCAGGTGTGAGCAACAAAGCAGAGTCAGGCTTAGCAAATCATTCTAGATTTAATTTTTAACCAAATCAGAATGTGTTCGTATAAAAAGATGAATAAAATGAACCAATTATATTTGAAATATGTAAGAAATACCGATGGATGAGATATCTGTATTTCAATTTCCTATTTGTACAGACATATCCAGGACTGCTTTTTGATTATTTCAGTTATTTCTCACTCAGTTAGACTCACAAAAATGCAATACCATTTGTATTTTTTTTTATGGGGGATCAAACTCAGGACCTTGCACTTTCCAGGCAGGCACTTACATCACTGAGCTATCTCCCCGGCCCTCCATTTGTATTTTGATAAAGTTTAAACAACACCATGAGAGTACATACCATAAAGGGTGGATTTTGACTGTTTGCTTCTGACATTTAAGATTAAAAATTTTAATTTCAAGCACTCTGAGTATCCTGAATGGCTTCCTGTTACAGAATTGAAAGGCACTTCTTGGGGAGCACATTTTTATATTAAACCTACAAGAATTCTCTGACACATATGGCCCTAATGGCTCTCCAACAAATGGTCTAGAATTCTTTTCAAGTCTCCAGGCCCTTGCTTGTGTCAATTAAGTTAGTTTCAAGACTTAATTCTAAAGTAGAGCCTTTTACTGGGAAGGAAACCACCATTCAGTCATTTACTTATTTAAACATCATTAAGTAAACATCCACTTAATGCCCGTCCTGTATTAGGGCACCCACTAATTTCTTCTCTCACAATTTCTGACTTCCAAAGGTCCCAGCTTCCTTAAACACTGCTGTGGGTGCAGTGTGTCCTATAAAGCTAGGGGTCTACCTCAGATAAAACCCCACATCTTAGACTGGTAAAAACAAAAGAAGGGAAAGCATATATATATATATATATACACACACATTCTACCTCTATATATATCTATATCTAAGAGTGACATGTACAAAGTAAACAATTTCTAATGGCTTTCATTTTTTTACTTTAATAAGTTTCTTTCTTAATTTTTCTGTATTTAGGACAGGGTCTACAGGGTCTAAAGGGTCTCACTATGTAGATCAGACTCATATTGATTCTCCTGTTTTCAGCCTCCCAAGTGCTGGGATTACAGGCATGTGCCACCACGCCCAGTCTCCGTCACCAACTCAGCACGCCCCATGGGCGGGGCCGGCACTGCACGCCAGGGCCAGGGATGGAACCCCAGCTGCTGCGCTCTGCCTAGGCAGGTGCTTTAGTATGCTGAGCTATCAGGCCAAACCTTAGTAATTTTATTTCTTAAAAATTGTGTTTTCTAACCTGGAAAGCTCATACACTGCAATTATTAATTAAGTTTAGTAAGCCAATAGACATTGCCAGTGGCATATAATGTTGGTGGGCAATAGTTTGAAAGGTCAGAAGAAAATGCTAAATATAGTAAGTGTTCTCTGCTTGTTTTTGTGAAATTTAGTTTCTCTTAAGACTTTAAGGCTGTTAAGCCAATGTTTTTTAAAGCTGTGTGTGAACACAAATGTCTAAATTTCTAAACCTTTTTTCCCTCAGTTTTGGGATATAGAAACTGAACTCCTTACACAATCTTAAGCTTCCCTTTATGAGACAGATTCTTATTTTCCCCTGATGTGTGATTCTTCAATGAATTGGGGATTGTTTCAGTGGGACCATGGAAACAAGACGAATTTTAGAAGAATCAAAAAATGTAGACATATAAAAATAATAGCAGAATCTCGATGTAAGGAAGTTAGTTAGGGTAAACTTTTTAAAAAATATAATAGAATTTTTCCATTGCAAAGGTAATCAGAACCATCGTGGGTTACCACACCCCACATTTCTAAAGAAATGGACGTGAAACTGTAACTGATGTCTCCGTTGGTACGGTGACAACACAGGTCACTGTATGTGCTTTGAGGCATACAAACACAGGGTGATGCCTAGTTGTATAGGTCTCTTCCTTACCTGGATTGTTGTTAGGAATAAACTATCAACCAAAATGAATTGTATACACATTTGATTTTTCTTTAGCAAAAAAATTCCCTGGTTTTGATTTTTCTTGTACCATAGTGAGAGAGATGCAATTTTAGATATTTTTCCTTATTTCATTCAGCATAATTTTCAGATATATAACAAATCCCAGGTAAAAATAAATCTAAAAAAGTTACTTTCATTTAAAAATAAATTTAAGGGCCGGCCAGATAGCTCAGTGGGTTAAAGCACCTGCTTAGGCAGATGTAGGGAGTAGGTTTGATCCTCAGCATGCCAGCCCTGATGTCACTCCTGGGGGGCACTGAGAGGGCGATTGAGACTGGGGGTGATAGTATGTGCCTGTAATCTCAGCTCTTGGGACACTGAAAACAGAAAGATCACTACAAGTCTGATCTGTGTAGTAAGATCCTGTAAGACTCTGTACTAAAATACATAAAAAAAATAAACAGGGTCCTCATTTTATAGTCTGTATCGATTCTTTGTCTTTTTGTTTTGTAGTGAAATTGATGAGAGATATTGCCTGAAGAAAATCAGAAGAGAAGGAGCCTGAGGCTGTTCGGAAACAGTCTGGCTCCTATTTACTTGGTTAAATTCTGCATGTGCTGGGAACAGAGTCCAAGAATGTGGGGAAGTAAGACATTATAAACGGCCCATCAATTCAAGTAGACATCATCCATACGGAACCGCAGTGCAGGAAGCACCTGGGGCATGGAGGGAAGAAACACCTGCATGCGGATCCTGCCTTTGCCCATTAGTTGTGATGGATTTGCTCCACTTCTTGGTTTCCACACACCTACCTAACACCTGCCCTAAAGGTCAGATATGAGGATAAATGAAGTCATACACGGAAAGTGAGTGCTTCTTAGCAGTGTGAAAATAACAGTCACTAGGATTACAGCATTCCAGTAGTGATTATTATATCTGGGTATGGCCCAGTTTGAAGAAGCAGATGTTTCTTTAACCTTCTTGCACATAGGCATTCACTCTCTGCAAAACTGATGATAGCATATGACCACTGGTTGAATACAGTACTGTATCTATTAGGGTGACTCTTTTAGTCAAACTCTTTGGGCAAGACTGCTAAACAATCGTGTGCACAATCAAATGACCATAGAGAAGCCAACAGACCCTTCTTCGTAACTTTCACATCTCTGATAGAATGTTCCAGGGAAGACATTTACTTTAAATAATAGTGTGAATTACATGCTTTGTGATGTAGAGCTTTATACACTTTCTTGTTAATAAACTGCCTTCTTTAGCCATGATGTGTGACTCTCTGAGTGACAAATTTGCAAAGATTGCAGGTGGCCCAGTGTTAAGTTTTCCGTCAATGGGACAAAGAAGGAGCAGAAAGTTGAAGTGAGTATCAAAAGGATAGCAGCAATGTCACGGCAGAGCCAGAGCTAAACTCCATGCGCTAGTTCCTAATCTTCTGCTCTTCGATGGTACCGCTGCTTTCCTGATAAAACTTTTTACTTGAATCACCAAGATCATGCAGCATTGGTTCATACCTTGCAGCAGAAATGTGGAAGTTTCTTTGGAAAATTGTGTACAGTGTATACATACCTTATAGGCTTCCACGACCAAATTGTTGAGGTTGGCAGCTGTTGATTCTATTTCACCAGCAATGGTGCCGGGCAAAAGGGGCAGAAGTTCCTGCAAAAATGTATCAGAATATTTACATAGCTCTATTGCATGGGACAGCGATCGACATGAACAGTTTTGCAGTTACCAGTTGCAAGTAAGCCATTATGTGACTGGAAAGAAATTTAAGATGTGAAAAATTTAAGTAACCCAGGAATGATAGCACGTGCTTGTGTACGTACGTGGGCGTGAGTGTGTGTGGATCCTGAATTACAGGACGATCTCATAATTTAATCAAAGAACAGACCAACGTTTCCCAGCATGTCTTCTGTAGGACACGGCCACAGGAGACTTGAAGTACGGAAAGGGTTCTCATGTCAAGTAAGTTTGGGAATTTGTATATACTGTCTCCCACTTAAATATTCAAAACGAACCTTTGCAGATTAAGTTGGTCAGAATAGGCCTGCAATTTGGAAGTAATTTAATGTTACTTCATGCAGCATTTTGTAGGACTTCTTTAGATACTGTTTTCTCCTATGACAAAGATAAATATTATCTAGGGCTGGTATTGCAAAGAATGACCTTTGGGACGTGTTGGGTTAGATAGATAGAAAAGGCATAGTTATAAGTGGGAACTGCACAGAGAAGACTCTCACAGTAGATGACAGAAACGCTGGATGTTCCCAGAAAGAAAATGAGAATTGGCAGAGGCTCGCCAGTCTGCTTGAGAAGAAACCCTTCTGATGAGAGCAAAGGGCACACAGATATAAGGTATCAGGGTATAGAGGCTTCTTTTCTGTTCATAGGTATCATGAAGTTCCTGCAGTGTGCCAGCCAGGTTTAGGCACTAACAATCTGGTATCTCAAATTGTAGGGAAAATATGTCACTTATCAATTCTAAGAAATCATTTATTGAACTTTTATTGAGCACCTACTATACATTTACTTGGAAATACTAAATTGCCAGGCCACATACTTAAGGATCTTGCAGGTACATAAAAGTGGCATTCTCATAAGCAATGCACATGTGAAGCAGCCACAGACACTATTAAAGGGGTTCTCAGCAGGCATTTCAGAGCAGGCGAAGATTATTGGGACTGTTTCCTTGAAGAGGTGACTTGTCCACTCTGTCTTAAAGGATGAGTAAGAATTAGCCAAGTAATGAGAGAGAATGGCTTCCAAGTACGGGTGTGAAAGAAGGGTGGCAAGGACAAAGACACAAAGGACCAAAAGCCCTGCCTAGCGAGCACACATGGGACCGCTAGAATCATGGCTCGAGGGGCAGTGCAGGCAGAGCACAGCGCCAGAAGGAGGCCTGCTGGACAGGCAGAGGCCAGGCGGTCACCTGGGCCATGTTAGACTTCGCCCTTCTAATCAGAGGGAGCCCCTGGAACGTGCCACTTAGGGCAGCCCTACGACTGCACTTGTGACTTTAGCAGGTCACCCTGACAGCCACGTGCAGGGTGGATTTGCGAGGTGGGTTACAAAGCGGCTTTGGGCAGGGAAAAGATGGCTTGCAGAAAGGATCCCCGGGCAGTACAGCGGGTGACTTGTGGCACACACGGGTTCCTCGGGCTGCTAGGTCCGGGTGATTCTTACTTTGCTCGCAATTCAGTTAATATTATACTTGATTTAATGCTTCATCAATCAAAGGCAAATTCGCAAAGGAGGAGGGAGAAACTGGGAAAGCTAGAGCCAATAATATTCTGAAAAAATAATAAACAGCAGGGAAAGAGAAGAGCAAAGCTATTTAAACAAGCTGTACATAAAGTCAGCTAGTAAACCTAGAGAGAAGCACAGGATTTGAGGGGTAGAAATCTCTGGGCAAGTAGTTCACCTTTGTAAATGTTTCCTAATCTTAAAATGGGAATATTAATAAAAGAGCCCTCATTGTTTTAATACCTAAGATAAGTAGAGAATTAATATTTAAAATCTCAGTCCCTGACAATAGTTAATTTAAGTACATAAGACATAAAAGTGATACCTGTTCCTATTAAAGTATTTCTGATCATTTAATTTGAGTTAGAGTCCTACTTCAGTGGATGTGCTAATTTGTTGTTACATTAAAAAAAAAAAAATGAGGGTCTGGGGAGATGGCTCAGTGGAATAAGCACTTCTCTGGCAAGCGCAAGGGCCTGAGTTCAATCCCGGGTTCTGAAAAAAAAAATGGTTCTGTGGCATATACATTTTGGAAACCAGCAAATTAAATAAGATTTCATTTTTCATTTCTACAGGATGAAAGATATGATTAAAGCACTTAATAATAATTAGATAATTAAGATGACTAATTGTATAGTTAGATGTTATGCAAATGTGTGAAATAATACCAACTTTTTGGAAAATGCAAATATGTTCACATAGTTGCTAAAGCCAGTGGAAAATACAGTCTT